TTGCATTGTCGTAGCTCCCCCTGGTGGCCAGAAGCAGGGAAAGGCTGCTACCAAAAAGAATAGGGCGGGTCCAAACACAGAGAGCTATTCTGGGGTGGGGGGTGGGGGGTGGGGGGTCTTTTCCCAATTTATACAGAGGGCGATAGTGCCTCTCCGTGGGCTGGATACTGCATCCGCTCAGCTAAACTCAGTTTTATAAAGGAAAACGTTCTGATTCTGTTTTTGCCTTCCTAATTATGAGAACAAGATCAGAGGATCGGTCACAATCTGAGCGATGTCGGAGTGGAAAGCGCAATTGGATGCCCTTGGTGTTCCACCTCCTGCTTCTGGGTTTCCCACTTCCTAGGAAACCCTTGGTTACTTTAAGTAGCCAAGTTGTATTCACACTTTTCCTACTCCGTTGCTCCTTTTGCCCCTTCCCTATAAAATCTCCAATTATGGCCATTCCCCAGTGGTCAATTTGATCACTAATGGTGGGTCAACCAGATGTCAGAAAACGTGTATTCTGGTGTGAAGCAATGTAAAGTACACATTACCACCCATGAAATATTCTAGCCCAAAATATTTGGGGCTTCTATCACATCTTTAGTTAGATCTCCCAGGGTAGAGGATAGAGGGAAATGTATGTAAAATGACATCACAAGGAAATAACCAGGCAAATAAAGGAGGTGAACTATTCTTCAGCACAGCTCACCAGTTTTTTCAAGTCAGAATTATAGGAAAGGGACTATACTGGATTAAAACAGATAGGAAGGACATAATCAGGAGATGCAATGTAAGGTCTTGAGTTGAAGACTGATTTGGAGAAATTAGCTGTAAAGGGCATTTTTGGCTCAAATGGTCAAATTTGAATATGAATATTCAAAGCATTTACTAACACGGAAAAGTGGAAATTATTACTGGAAAAAAAACCAGGTTACAAGCCACAGTATGTCTGTAAACAACATGAAAATATTTTTGTAAGCAAAATACATATTAATACGTATGTACGTATATGAAGGTGTGGGAGGATATGGACCAAGGGTTACAGTGATGATTTCTGGGTGTAACAGATTATTTTTTGTTTTTGCTGGTTCTGTATATTCTAATTCTCACGGACTGCTTCTGTAATAATAAAATAGTATTTAAAATTTTGAAATAAAACATCATTTATCTTTCTTTGCTGTCAATAAACTAACGCCAGGTTTTTAGGAACCCTAGTAAACACTTAAATACACAAATGAAACGTTCAGTTATTAGGTTCCTCAAGAGCATGGACTTCAGTGTAATCAGCTCTATGTTCCTAACACTTAGCAGAGTGTCTGGCAGCGAATTCATTAATAAATTTAATGTAAATGACTACATATAAGAACTAGATTTGCTGATGTTCTCATTCTGCTTGACAATTATAATCCTCTTCATGGTGGTGTCATAAGCTATTGCTATGTTCAGTGGTCAAATTTTTGTTTCCAGACGTTTGACACTATGGTTTGCAAAACCCAGGATGTGGACCTTAGGTAGTCCATGAGCAACTCTGACCCTTCCTTAGAGCTATATTTTATTTCAGTCATATAAGGAATAGCTATTCCCCATATAGGCCATTTATTTTCCTACCTTATTTATTCACACTGATCCACACAACTGGGGTACTCCTTCTTAAATTTATATTTAGAAAAATTCTGGGGCACCTGGGTGGCTCAGTTGGTTAAGCGATCAACTCTTGATTTCGTCTCAGGTCATTATCTCACGGTTCATGAGTTCTCACGAGTTCGAGTCCCATGTTGGGTTCTGTGCTGACAGCGTGGAGCCTGCCTGGGATTCTCTCTCTCTCACTCTCTCTCTCTCTGCCCTTCCCTTGCTTGCACACGTACTCTCTCTCTTCCTCAAAATAAATAAATAAACTTAAAAAGGAAAGAAAAATTCTAACTATCCTGTTAGGTCCCTCCCTCTCAAATGTTACTTATATATCCCTAAATTTAGAAAAATGCATCTCACTCTTAGTTCCTAGAATAATTTCTGGCAACATCATTATAGTCATAGGCCTGTCTTCCACCATTTATGGTCCATTCATTCAGGGTAAGGGTTGGGTTTTTTCATTTTCAGATCCCCAGTTCCTGGTTGAGTCTTGGGTAGTAAAGTTTGTTGTTTTGAACTGAATGAAATAGTCTCAAAGTCTTGTCTTTTCCAGGATCAGTTAATAAGTTACCACTACCATTCCCATTTGTGCCTCATCAAAAATCTGTGTTATTTTTTAGTAGCAATTTGTACAGGGTGAGATACAAGGCTCACCTGATTTGGGACTAAAAATATGTAATAACCATTGCTCCTGTTTTCCTGGTGCTAGTTTTTTTCCTCTTTCAGTTAGTGAATATGCGCAGAAGGCAAAGGATAAAATTCTAAGTATGTTGCCAAAGCTAACAAAATGAATATAAAATGATGGAGGGGAATGCATGGGAGATTATTGTCCGAGATAATCTCAATTGAAATAGGAATCTGCTGCAGGCAAGCTGCTATTTTGAAACATCACAGGCAGCAGCAAAGCAAAAGCCCATAAATAAATAGTTCATGATGGAAGGATGTTGGTTTCATGCTGACTAGTGCAGCCTCATATTTTTGCCTTTAGACTGCTCCGGGAAAGTTTGCTTCTTGCTGCATTTGGATAACCACCAGTCTCTATAGTCAGACAACAGGGCCTTTCTTACCCGTGGCCCCTTCCTGACCTAGTTTTGCTGAGGGAGCAAACCTCAGGAGGGGTCATGTTTCGGGCCGTGGAACCCCAGCCACAGCTGATTGGAGTAGAGGGGAACCCCCGACTTACCAGAAGCCAACACCAACGCTAATAACTTATGAAGTGGCCTGTTGATAAAAGCTCTGTTCCCCCATTCCGCAAACAAACAGCAGATTAGCTGGTGGTGATTAGCTAGGCCAATCATATTTTCTCTCTGGGGACTTGGAACTGGGAAATACAAGAGTCTCAGTCAGAGTAGTTTTATCTGTGTATTAGAATGTAAACTCCATGAGGTCTTTGCCTGTGTGTCTACTACTGTATACTTAATACTAAGAACGGGCTGGCACAGAACAGTTGCTCAATAAATGGTTACTGAATGAATGGATGGATGAACGAATGAATGACTAAAGGATCACACTAATAGAGAAGTGCTACCGCAGTGGTTCTCAGGCTTGGATATGTATCAGGATCATTAGGAAACTCTGAAAATACAGAAGTCCAGTGCTAGTTTACTTCAAGGAACCTGGGTCCCTGTGGTCTTTATTACTTTCCAGCTGATTCTGATACACACAAACTCTGAGAATCACCACACTGGAATAATGCTCAATAAATGCTGTTTTGTGGGCAGAGAGCCAATGAGAATCTCTACAGCTGAGAGCGATCCTCCCGACAACCACAGCCATGAGGCCCAATTTATACTGATGTTCTTGTGTTTCTTTGATATCCCCATCACCTTTATTGCCAAACCTTTTATTTAGTTTTTTTTTTAATGTTTATTTATTTTTGAGGCAGAGAGAGACAGAGCACGAACGGGGGAGGGGCAAAGAGAGAGAGGGAGACACAGAATCCGAAACAGGCTCCAGGCTCTGAGCTGTCAGCACAGAGCCCGACGCGGGGCTTGAACTCACGAACCGCGAGATCATGACCTGAGCTGAAGTCGGACGCTTAACTGACAGAGCCACCCAGGCGCCCCTATTTAGTTTTTTTTTTAACAAAAAAAATTTTTTGGACTTACAGAAAAGTTGCAGATAGTATAGAGAGTTCCCATATGCCTTTTACTCAGTTTCTCCTATTGTTAGCATCTCACATAACCATGGTACATTTGTCAAAATCAAGAAACCAACATCTGAACCTTACTGTTAACTAAGTTCTAAACTTTATTTAAATTTCTTAAGTTTTTCCACTAATGTTTTTCTGTTCCAGGATGCAATTCAGGATCCTATATCACAGTTAGTTGCCCTATCTCCTTAGTCTTCTTTGGTTTGTGCAGTGTCTCAGACTCTCCTGATTTTCAGGACCTAGATACTTTCAAAGAGCACTGGTCAGGTATTTTGCAGAATATACCTGTGTTTAGGTGTGTCTAATGTTTTTCTCATGATTAGACTGGGCTTGTAGGTTTGGGGGAGGAATCCCATAGAGGCGAGGTGCCCTTTTCATTATACCAGCAGTTCATGCCAGTAACATGACTCATTACTGTTGATGTTACCCTTGATCACTTTGTTAAGGTGCTGTCCCACTTAATAGTAAAATTACTATTTTTCCCTTTCCCCTGGAAACAAGTCACTAAATCTAGCTCATCCTCAAGTTTCACCTCCTGGAGGAGAGTATCCAAAGATACACGTTGGAATTCTTCTGTAAGAAATTTTGCCTCTTCTCTCCTATTTATTTAATCATTATATTTATATCAGTATGGACTCACATATACTTATTTTGTACTTTATCATCTAGTACTTCATTATCCAATACTGATAGGAATGCAGAATGATGTATTTTGTTGCTCAAATGGTTGCAGCTTTGCCCCCCGAGACCACTTTCAGTTCAGCTTCGGTGTCCCTTTGGCAGGCTCGCCTGTTTTTTGTATGTGATGAAATACACATAACATAAAGTCTACCGTCTTAACCATTTCTAAGTGTACTGCTCAGTGATATTAAGTACATTCATATTGTTGTGCAAACACACAACAAATTGAGTATTTCTGTACTTTCTGGTATGGCAAAATGCTCCAGTCTTATCTTGTATTTTTTCTGTTTTAGCCCTAGAATCAGCCCATTCCTCCAAGTCCAGCTTCCCTTAATTGGAGAATGATATTTAAAAACCAAGATCCGGGGGCGCCTGGGTGGCGCAGTCGGTTAAGCGTCCGACTTCAGCCAGGTCACGATCTCGCGGTCCGTGAGTTCGAGCCCCGCGTCAGGCTCTGGGCTGATGGCTCAGAGCCTGGAGCCTGTTTCCGATTCTGTGTCTCCCTCTCTCTCTGCCCCTCCCCCGTTCATGCTTTGTCTCTCTCTGTCCCAAAAATAAAAATAAACGCTGAAAAAAAAAATTAAAAAATAAATAAATAAATAAATAAATAAATAAAAACCAAGATCCGGGCTCGGGGTGTGTTCCTTGCTATTGAAGTGTCACTGCTTCTAGACGTTCTCATCAGACAGAGCTAGGGAACATGAAAATATATTGATCTATAAGTATTTAATATCATTAAGATAATTAAATATCTATAATTATTTCTATGTCTGTCTGTGTCTATATTAAACTGAATATGAGGCCATACCGTCTCTGACTCTAATTGAGCCCCACAGGATTCATTTTAGCACTTTCCCTTTGCTTATTTGTAACTCCTTTGTCTGACAGTGAGAGACCTAGCTCTCATTATCTACCATTTATGTACTTATTTTTTCAACTTCACTATACATATGAAATAGTTTCAGAATTGTTAATATTTACTCCTAGAAGAAGCAAATTTATCAACTAGGGTACCATATTTATATAGTTTTCTCTCTTTAGCGTTATGATTTCCAGTCAAAACACCATTTTCCAAAGTCATTTAGGTCAGCTCCATTTTACCCCCCGACCCTCTTCAGTGTGATCTATGAAGATAAATGATATGTATGTCAGATACATACAATCTTCACCTGTACAATAAGTTAGATTCATTAGCTCCAGTCTACATTCCATCCTAGGATTCCCTGACATTATGGTGTGATTTTCTTTTGATTTGCACACATTATAGTTCACTTTTTATGATGTACAGTTCTATAGGTTTTTACAAATGCATGCACCTACCATCCTATTACCATACAGAACATTTCCATCTCCCTAAAAATTTCCTTGGGTGATAAACCACTTCCCCTTCTTTTAACCTCCGGCAACCACTAATCGGTTTTCCAATGTTATAGTTTTGCCTTTCCCAGAATATCATATGAATGGAATTATACATTGCGTAGACCTTTGGTCTGGCTTCGTTCACTTAGCAAAATCCATTTAAGATTCATGCATGCTGTGTGTGTCTGTAGGTCATTCCTTTTTATTACTGAATAGTATCCCATTCTACGGATGTACCCTAATTTGTTTTCCATTTACTTAAAGGGCATCTTGATTGCTTCCAGTTTTTGACAAGTATCAATAAAAGTGCTAGAAGCTTTCACATATAGATTTTGTGTGAACATGAATTTTCATGGGTAAATAGCTAGGCGTGGGTTTGCTGGTAAATACCTAGGCGTGGGTTTGCTGGATTGTATGGTAGATTTATGTTGAACTTGATCAGAATCTGATACTGTCTTCCAAAGGGTCTGCTTTGCATTCCCACTAGCTATGCATTCCCACTACTTTGCATTCCCACTAGCTATGAACATGCATTCCTATTGTTCTGCATTCTCACCAGCATCTGGTATTGTCAGTTTGGGGATTTTAAACATTCTATTAGTTATGTAGTAGCATCTCGTTATGGTTTAAATTTGCATTTCCCTAATGACAAATGCTATTGAATATCTTTTCATATACTTATATACCATCCATATATCTTCCTTGGCAAAGTGTCTGTTCATATATTTTGTCCATTTTAAAATTATTTCTTTTCATATTGTTGAGTTTTAAGGGTTCTTTATAAGAATAAAGATCTCGATGTGAATCCCTACCAGAAATGTGACTTACACTCAGGTTTTGGCTTGTCTTTTCATTCTCTTGTCAACCACAGACATTTTTCATTTTTATAAAGTCCAATTTAGCACTTTTTTTTATGTATCGCACTTTTGGCATTATATCTAAAAACTTATCACCAAACCCAAGGTCACACAAATTTTCTGCTATGTTTTCTAATAGTTTTATAGTTTTACATTTTACATTTTGGTCTATGATCCATTTTGAGTTACATGAGGTGTATTTTGAGGCCCACTTTTTGTGTGTGTCTGGACATCCAAATGTCCCAGCACGGTATGGTGAAATGACTGTCCTTTCTCCACTGAATTGTCTTGGCATTTTTGTCAAAGAGAATCTCTAGAGCTGGGTATGATCTTTCCAGCAAACAAACTCAGTGCTAAGGCCCTAAATGTAGTAATGCCCTGGCATTTCTTTGAGGTTTCCATCACCTTTATTACCACATGTAGTTTTTAACTAAAACCTCTATTTCTCAAGGTAGCCTGTTTTGTTGTTGTTGTTTGTTTTGTTTTGCTTTTGTAGGTAAAAGAATTCCCAGGTCCATTTCTTTCATCTGCCTCCTAGCAGTGAGTCTTTCCTGCAACTTTGTGGGTCTCTAATTTTAAGGAACGAGTGCTCAGGTTAATTATTACCTGTGGATCCTTTGAAGATAAAAGGTGCTGGTAAGTAGTGCCAGTGAGTAGTGCAGTTAGAACAATATTGACTTTCTGATACCTGCTTTACTTCCCTGATGGGGTTTTCTTCCTTGATATTGTAGAGAGATGGAAATTTAGGAGTTGTACCGAATTACTCCCTCAGAACGCAGAAGAGGTTGGTGGACTTCTGCATGGCCCTGGGTGATAGAGAGGAATCAATCTTGCCTTCCCAGGCAAATTTATTTCTCCATGCCCCTGCTCTTGATCATGGGACAATGTAAATCATGTCGTTAAAGCACAATGTGGACAGTGGTGTTGGGGTGACTGTTGACAGTCTCTGTGTAAAGATCACAGTGTGTCAAGGGGCTTTCAGGGACTTACAAGGGGTTGATAACACATTATTCCTCATTTCCCCCTGGAAATAACCTAAGGAGATAGGTGTTTCATATGAAGACAACTTCTTTTTCCCTCATGATACTTAAATCACACATGGGTGAGATAGTCATCCTTAGTCAAATTGCTTTCCAGCTGTGGAGCTGTGAAATAAAACCTGTCATGTGCTTTCAAAATTAATCAAGGATTGGCAAACTTTTTCTGTAAAAGAGCAGATAGCAAATATTTTAGGCTCTGCAGCCCCTGCATCTCTATAGCAATTACTTAACTCTGCCATTGTATACCGTGAAGATAGCAATTAACAATAAGTAAATGAGTGGGTGTGGCTGTGTTCCAATGAAACTTTGTTCACAAAAGCAGCATGCACTGGACTTGGCCCACAGTCGATAGTTTGCTGACCCCTGAACTAGACAAATCAATTTGCCTAGGTAAAAAAAAAAGTCTCAGTTTTTATTGGGATCTTGTTAAATTTATAGAGAGAAGTTAAACACCATGCATCCAATGATCTCACTCCTAGATATTTACAGAAGATGAATGCCTAGACAAAATGTTCATACAAAACCTAAACACAAATGTTTACAAAAGCTTTATTTATAATCATCAAGACTGGAAACAACCCAGGGGCTCCTGGGTGGCTCAGTCTGTTGAATGCCTGACTTTTGATTTTGGCTCAGGTCATAATCCCAGGGTTGTGGGATGAAGCCTCACGTCAGGCTCTGCATTTAGTGTGGAGTCTGCTTAAGAGTCTCTCTCTCTCTCTCTCTCTCTCTCTCTCTTCCTCTGCCCCTCTCCCCTGCTTCTATGCACTTGCTCTCTCTTTAAAAAAAAAAAAAAAAGATGGAAAACAACACAATGTCCATCAACTGATAAATCACTAAACAAATTGTGGTGCATCTAAACAATGGAATATCACTCAGAAATAAAAAGGAACAAACTACTGTTAAAACTGTTAAAACATAATACTCAAAAGTATTATGTTAAGTGAAAGAAGCCAAACATAAAAGCAACATGCTATATAGGGTCTATGTATAGGTCATTCTAGGTAAAGCAAAATTATAGGGACAGAAAACATTAGTCCTTGCCAGGACATGGAAGTGAGGGAAGGGAATTAATTATAATTCCTGATTAAAGTGTCAACTTGGCCACAAGCATACGTATTTCCATCTTATATGAATCTAACTGCACAGGAATATATTTTATAACAGTTGGACTTTTTTGACTGAGACTTATTGTTTTATTAGAAAATTTAAATTCTTGGGGTGCCTGGGTGGCTCAGTCAAAGTGTCTGACTTCAGCTCAGGTCATGATCTCACAGTTCGTGGGTTCAAGCCTCCTGTCGGGCTCTGTGATGACAGCTCAGAACCTGGAGCCTGCTTCAGATTCTGTGTGTGTGTCTCTCTCTCTCTGCTCCTCCCCCACTTGTGCTCTGTCTCTGTCTCTCAAAAAAAAAAAAAAAAAAAAGAACATTAAAAAATTAAAAAAAAATAAAGTAGATAGGAGAAAATCAAGAAACTGTTTATAGAGGACATAACCATGGTTGTGATTCAAAACAAGCCAAATGTATTTCTATATATAATGGCTCTCTCTATAAGAGGTTGGGTAATGCTTCTGTGACTTCCCAAATCAGGATGAGTTTGGGTGTATGGGTTGGGGAAGGACTTGGGAGAGGTGAATTCCTTTGTGTAATGAGGTGAAGAATTAGAATACTGGGGAAGGGTGGGGAGCAGGAGGAGAGAAGAGATTAACATTGGCATGGGGGACATGTGAATGGGTGGAGGAAGAAGACCTGAGAGCCCTCAGGGCAAAGCACCCTAAAAGGGTCTCCCTCTGACTCTGAGTGCTCTGCATTCAACCAACTAATTGTCTAACCAATCAAGCAGGCTTTGAGGGTCAGAGTTGTCCAAGTAGGGACAGGAGGGTCCACACCCCCAGGGAGTTTGTGTCCCCAGCCAGCACCTTCCAGCATTAGCCAAGGATATCATGTGCCTTAGGACACCCCCACCATTGCCCTACACTCTGTTTCTGGGGATGTGTCTCTATCAGTCAGCCAGGAAGTGCTTCTTCAGCCCTATTTTGGAGGAAAATTTCTTTCAATGAGACAGTGCAGTTCAGGTAGAGAAAATAGATGAGTGCTCATGCTAGTATAATCTTTGAAGAGAATATATTATAACCAAGGGCATGTATTCTTTCTAAATATATCTGATTCTTCCAATGAAAGAGTGCGGTCTTCCCTCTGTGCCATGTTAGGGGTATAGGATCAGTATATCCTAGGAGTTTGGGCTTAGAGGAAGGAAGGGGTTAGCTTAAGCTGTGAGTGACTGCTTTGCCTTCTAAAAGGTGACAAGGGGAATGGAGCGAGATTGACAGTGGTTTGCACACCCGTCCCCATCCTGAGGTCTTCATTTGTGCCAGCTCAGCTGTCCTATTTAAAAAACACTGTGTTTTCATAATACATTTACAAAAATATACCAAAATAAAGCAAAACCAAAACAAAATTACTCTAAAAGCATTCAAGGGTTTGTCAAAGTGAAAAACAAACAAACAAACAAACAAACAAACAATAAAGTGTCTACCCTAACAACTTGCTCTTTGATAGGTATGAATGGGAACATTTTCCTAAAATCAATGATACTTGTCTTTTGGAAAGAGTTGCTAATGTCCAGTGGGGTCAGAGCAGGTAGATATTGGGTGAAGGGTGTACCTGAAAGAGGACTTCAACTACCTCCATTCTGACCTCAGTCTGTACTTTCTAAGTGATTAAGTTATTCTTTCCAGCTTATCACTTAACTCAGGCAAAAGACTCCACAGCGAAGCATCCCATATGGGAACCAAAACTACCCCTTAAGCAATAACAACCGACCTGACCTGACCTGATGTGACTGACCCCCAAGACAATGATCAACCCGACTTTTACTGCCTACATCTATGTTATGTACCCACTGACCTTTGTCCCACATTTTCTTTATATAAATCTAGAAGATATTTTCAGCACTTTGGAGACCCTCTTTGCGAAGTCTTCCTGGTGCTGGCCTCACTGAAATAAATGCCTGTCTGGTTTCACCACCACTTATCTTGGATCTTGTCAGCAGCAAGTGGCCGAACCTGGTCCATTTGGGACCCTGGAGCCAGGATCTCTTGCACCCCTGTACCCCAGTTACAGATCTATGGAGGTGCTGATGTGGTAGACCCTGGGTTAGCCAGGGCAGGGCCAAGAATAGGGTAAGAGCTGCTTAAGGATCTATTGTGTCTTTGCTGTTAACCTCTCTGGGAACTGAACTTGGAATTCTACAACGAGTTCTCCCCACCAGGTGTGTATCTTGAGGAGGGGAAGCCCCACCCAAGGGAGGCTCTTCCTGGTACATGGCTTGATGACATCGCTGCAGGGCAAAGGGATTGCTTGACCACCTCCGGTGGAAATGTTCATGGTGCAGCCACACAGCATCTGGGGGAGAGTGAGGGAAAAGCTGGGGATAGAGGTAATGGTAAAGGAAGAAAAATAATAAATGCATGAAAGGCAAGAATGATCTAGTTGGTGAGGAAGAACAGAAGCGCTCCCATCATCCCTAACCCTAAACACCCCCTGCACACACATACACACAACTTCACTCAGGCTTTCGATCCTTGAGACTGATCAGCACACTGAGATCTCAGTGCAAGTACTTAGCGTTTCTCTTCGATCGTAAAGAGAATGTTTGATCATAAAGAAATGTTGTCAGGCCATCAACTTCTTTGGGGAGGGTAACTTTAGTCCCTTCCTTCTAAAGGGGAACAGAATTTGCTGAATTTGATCACTACTGTTTTGTTAGGACTGGCTGTCCCACATGGAAACCCATAAATGGCAGAACCTGGTGATGATGGAGATGACTCACAGGCACCATCTTTGATCTCGATGTTTCCTGCTGAGAAGACCCCTCTTACTGATTCTTTCTTCAGTGAACACTGCTCATCTTTCACACTGAGCTCAAGCATCACTACAGGAAGCCTTCCTTGACCATCTGACGAAAAATCCTGTTTACTAGGTTTTTATACGATAAAAGTGGCACGTGCTTACTTTAAAACGATACAAAGATATATAATTAAAATAATAAAAAGTCCACTAACTCTTACTCTCGAACTCTCCTCCTCTGAGATAACCAATGTTGAGCTGGGTACGTATAGTTCCACTTCTTTCCTCGCCAAATACAAACTGATACACACCTATGTACAAACACTTGCTTGTTCTTTTCCTCCCCCCACTTGCCGCCCCCACACGAAGTCGCATTGTACCAGGACTCTGCAGTTTGCTTTCCCTTTTCCTTTCGTTTAATAATATCGCATAGACATCTTTCTATTTTAATAGCAATGTCGCAGTTCGCAATTTGATACTTGTTACAATGCCTGATTTTAATTTTTTAAAAAAACCTGCTGTGCTGTCTCAGACTTCTGAAACAAGATGATTGCCAGTGGTATCTTACTTCTGCTTTACATGGATATGTAGTAAACAATTTATTTAATATGATGTTTGTTTTTAGTTTTTGCTAACTAATCTTTATCACGGGTGAGATGGAATCCTGCTCATCCCACTTCAAATTTGTATTAGGAGAAGCTGCAGGATTTTTTCAAGTGACTTTTTGACATATTTCCATTTTACCCATGACTTTTCTATGTAACTTATGTTTCTAAGTTTAAAAAAGTTTTTTAATGTTTTTAAGTTTTTTTTCTAATTAAAAAAAATTTTTTTTTAATTTTTATGCATTTTGCATTCTTGGAAGAAACCTTTGTGGTCGTGGTATCATTTTGTGACTTTACCGCTGAATTACATTTGCAATACACTATTTTACTTGTTTAGAAAATTTAAATCTATATAACTGAAATTGCTCTGTAGGTTTTTTTCTATTTATCAAGCTCTGTGCCTCTCTAGCATCCTAGTCATAACTCTATCATAGTACTTATTACCTTGATGAAAACTATGTATCTAATTGTCTATGCGTCAACAACCAGAGAGCGGGGAGGAGGTCATATTCAGCTTTCTGTCCTTTGTGCCAAGCACAATGCCTAGGGCATGGTAGAAGCTTGAGGCATCTGTGTTGAATGAAGGAATGAAAAGCTTTTAGAAATATTTTCCTTTAATTTTAATACTGTTTGTAGTTTGCCATATGCTATCTTTAGATTTCTTTTGTTCCAATGCCAGTAATGTCCATGTTTCTATCCTCACTAGTTCCCTTGCAGAAATACCATCACCGAATACAACACTGCACTTAAAAGGAATAAACTAGGGCCACGTGTATCAGCACGGATAGATCTCAAAAGTATAAGGCTAAACAAAAAAAGCAAGGATATGTATAGCATGACACTATTTAGAGTTTTAAAAATGCAAACAATACCATGCGCTTGTGCTGGTTGTGTACTGTTGGCTCTCAACCCCACTGCGAGCCTTTCTGAGAACTCTTCTGGATTGCAAGGGGTCGGCAACCTGTCAACCACATGTCACAGGCTCCGGTTAGGTTTTGCCAGGGCAAAGCACTGACAGGAGACTAAAAAACAGAAGAAAGGGAGAAGTCACTTTTCTGTCTGTGCAGGTTGTGTGTTTCCAGCAAAGGCAGCACCAGCAAAAGGAGGAGGTGACTGAAAACGGGCATTTCAGTAGTATCAGGGGCTATGTTAGCAGCAGCAGTGCCAACCTGTACCAACCCAGCGAGAAGGAAACCAAGTGAATAGCTACTCTGATCCCATTCTCCTCTTCCCCTCCACCTCTCACCAGTACTTCCCACAGGCCAAAACCAACCGGAAGTCAGAGATCAAGAGAGTACAGTGAGACAGTACAGCTCGGTTTTCGGAGCACAAAGAAACATGGAGAGCGGATCTGGGGGTGGGGGGCAAGTGGATGAAACTAAACGTTATCCCATATGCTTCTCCAGCCCTTTCTATACCTTTGTAATTCTCACTATTAAATCTCCCTTTGTGTGCAACACATAGAGTGGTTTCTATTTTCCTGACTGGAAAGTAACTGATTTAGTCTAGTTTAGGGATACCAACATATACAGCAAAGGAAAAATAACTTGCATAGGAATAATAAACTCCATGTTCAAGATAATAGTTACTTCTCAATGGAAGAAAACAGAATGGAATTGGGGACAAATACACAGGCAGCATCCTGTATATCTGAAATATTTAATTTCTTAAGCTGGAAGTGGAAACTATGGATATTTTTAATGTTATTCTGTTTGTTATATTATTCTCTATTTTTTATATGCCAGAACTATTTAGCCATCCTAATGATTACATATGTGTGTGTATATATATGAATAAGCCGATGAATAAACAAATGAAAACACCTGACTCTGAATTCTGACTCTGTCATTTAATAGTTATTTGAACTGAGGTAAGTTAAGCTACTTACGTCTCTTGAGTCTCTTTGCATGCTCATCCATAAGGCTAAGAACATACCTTACGAGACTATTGTGATGATATGTGGAAGAATATATGTAAACAGGCCCTAGCACAGTGCCTAATACAGGACAAGCCCTTAGTAGGTCATAGTTTCCTTCTTCCTGAACTTTCAGGAAGAATAAGGCCTTGATTTTGATAAACTTTTAATTTCAACAAGTGTGCTATGTCTCAAGGAGGTGTTTTCTTTCTTTTCTTTCTTTTTCAAAGCCTTTCATGTTCCTTCTCTGATCATAAGAGAGGTGGTTGTCCAATGTAGAAAATTTGAAAAATACATAAACATATAGGGATGAAAATAAAAATGCACTGTAGTTCTGCTCCTCATAAACTGTTATAACTGTATACAAGTATTCAAATTAGAATAATACTATATAGTTCTGTGACATGGTTCTTTTTTTTTTTTTTTTAGCTTGTATATTTCTATTTTTATTGAGAACTTTTAACAACTTTCTTGTTTTGGGGGAGGCAGTGCCATCTAATTGACGGAACGAGGGGGGTGGGTATAGAATTTGACAGTTGTTACCAGTTGGCTGGTGACCTTTAGCAACTCACCTACTGATTTTATGTGAGGGCAGAGGAATTTCACAAAAAGAAGAGATGAGGTGTGATATTTAAGGCCTTAAAGCCTTAGTCTACCTGTTTTATAGCTTTCATTTTTACAAAGAATTTGAATATATCAGTATAGCTTATTTCTTTTTTTAAGGCGGAAGAAAAATACAAGGAGAAAAAAGTCAGTAGTATGAACTTAAGAACAATCCAGGCAAAAGCTAAAAATTATCAACTGTTATCATCTTAACTTTGAGTTATCCCAACACTTTAAAAAAATCTTCAGTTTGGTTTTCTTTCCTAATAAGGATTACTGGTAACATTAACCATTTATTATTTGGGAGATCATGAAAATTTACGGTAAATACAATCTATTTTCTTTAGCTGGAAAAGAAATTGCTTGATAACAAATGAATTTACACAACAGTATCATTAAATACGGAGACTTTAAAGAGACAAATAATATATTGAACTATTTTGGAAAGTACACACAGGACAAACACATATTTTATCTGTATATATTCTAATGGCTACTTTTTAAGAAATTTTAAACATTCTGCCATTTATTTCACTGACCTATTGTTGACAGTGGCTGATGAAATTTTCATTTTTTGCATGTATTGCTTGCTGGGTTTCCTTCATCACAAGCTCTAGCTTTGTCTTTTCTTTTTTTTTAATTTTATTTTTTATTTTTTAAAATTTACATCCCAATTAGTTAGCATATAGTACAACAATGATTTCAGGAGTAGGTTCCTTAGTGCCCCTTACCCATTTAGCCCATCCGCCCTCCCACAACCCCTCCCATAACCCTCGGTTTGTTCTCCATATTTATGAGTCTCTTCTGTTTTGTCCCCCTCCCTGTTTTTGTATTATTTTTGTTTCCCTTCCCTTATGTTCATCTGTTTTGTCTCTTAAAGTCCTCATATGAGTGAAGCCATATGATTTTTGTCTTTCTCTAATTTCATTTAGCATAATACCCTCCAGTTCCATCCATGTAGTTGCAAATGGCAAGATTTCATTCTTTTTGATTGCCAAGTAATACTCCATTGTATACATAGACCACATCTTCTTTATCTATTCATCCATCAGTGGACATTTGGGCTCTTTCCATACTTTGGCTATTGTTGATAGTGCTGCAATAAACATGGGGGTGCATGTGTCCCTTCGAAACAGCACACCTGTATCTCTTGGATAAATGCCTAGTAGTGCAATTGCTGGGTCGTAGGGTAGTTCTATTTTTAGTTTTTTGAGGAACCTCCATACTGTTTTCCAGAGTGGCTGCACCAGCTTGCATTCCCATGTGACATGGTTCTTTAACTTCACAAGATAAACATTTTCCTGTATCAAATATTTTATGATGTCACTTCTGCTGGCTGTGTAATATTCAAGGGGTTGGGATGTTTAGATTTTTCTAATATTTCACTAATATAATTAATTGTGCAATGAACTTCCTTGTTGATAAACCTTTCCCACATTTCTCACTATTTCCTTGGACAAAATACTTGTGGAAATCCTGGTCAAATTGTATGTGCACTTGATGACATCTTATGGGCTATGCCTATCTTGTTTTCCAGAAAGACTGTAAAGAAAGTAAGAAAGATTGTACCAATTTATACTGCCTCTAGCAATGCTGGAGAGCACTACTTTTCCACATCAGGAAGATACTTTTAAAAAGAGAAGTTGGAACAGACATGGACTTACCAGTGGAATCTACAGCAATAATTCCAACTGGCTTAATGTTTAAAGAATACCAGCAAAGTGCCATAACTATACAGAGGAAAGGACTTCCATGGGCCACTGAAATCTAATTTTAACAGGTTGCCACGCAGAGGGATTCCAGTCGAAGTTTTAAGTGTCAATTGCTATCTGGAATCAACTATAAACATGGACACCAGTTGGATGTGATTTGGGAACCAGCTAACCTGTGGATTTTCTAAATCCAGACCTGCTAGTGATACAGTTGGGAAATAATGCAGAACAAGACAAGCACTCTGCTCCTGGCCAAGGCCTGCGACTTCGATTTCCTGTGTCTTGAACGTTCACCTCTAACCTTTCCCCTGCCTCCAGTTTGAAGGGCCTGAGACCCACTCTGAAGTGGTTAAATCAGAAAAAAAAGGAAGATAGCAAAAAGCATCAGCTAATAAGAGCTTCCACTCTTTGTTAATTAATTTCTGCAACTCTAACCCTCTGGCATCTGCCAGCTTCACTCTGTATTGCAGCCAATGAATTTCAAAAATAATTAAAGTTAATGAACTGCTCTTTGTGATAGGACCCTGAAAACTTAACAGCCATAATTAGTAGGAAGTGCAAAGTGGGGAAAGCGTCACTTGCTGATAAACAGAATTTCCTCATCTTGTTGATACAAGAGTCCTGGCCATATGTGAAAGTCATGCTCTATTGAGTCAAAGGAGATGTATGACTGGGTTTACAAATTGAAAGTAAATGAAGGACAAGTACTGATCTTGAAAATGATCTCCCTAGGCTAAAATCAGACCCCTCTCCCAACATTCCACAATTATTGTATCAAAATGTCAGTAAGAATTCATGATAAAGTGTCCAGCAACCTGAGAGGGTCAGTCATCCCAGCCAAAGTAGGGCATCGAACTTTCCATCCTTTAGTAACCAAAACAAACAGGAAAATTAATGAGTGCTGAGAAGTCAAACACTAAATTGATGGTAGCTCTCTGAATTCAGTTTGGGAAGGATTTTTCAGTGTGAATTTCTTGAAAGCAAATGCAAATAAAGAGTCTGGAAATAGTGGGAATAGCTCCGTGGCTGGAAGGAAGTGACACATCTGAGCAGGTGGAACTTCACCTAGATGTGGGGTTTCCCAAGGGATTATACACATGCTTGCATTCTACTGTAAGGCGATTTTATTTATTTATTTTTAAAGATTTTACTGTTAAGTGATCTCTACATCCAGCGTGGGGCTTGAACTCACAACCCCAAGAGCAAGAGTTGCATGCTCCACCAACTGAGCCAGCCAGGCTACCCAGTAAGATGACTTTACATGGTAAATGGTCAAACATGTTTTTTCAGCTTAATAGTTACAGATTAATTGTAATTCATATTTAAACCATTCAACTAGCACGGCAAAACCTTCATTTCACAAGTGAACTTTTTCTTTCAAAATGAACACATTTAGGGGCCCCTGGGTGGCTCAGTTGGTTAAGCAGCCGGCTCTTGCTTTTGGCTCAGGTCATGATCTTACACAGTTTCATGAGTTCGAGCCTTGCATCAGGCTCTGTGCTGACAGAGCCTGCTTGAAGTTCTTCCTCTCTGCCCCTCCCCCCACTTGTGCTCTCTCAAAATTGATAAGCTTAGAAAAATAAAATCATTAAAAAAATGTATCTCAGTTGAAAAAAATGAGATGAGTTTAAAAACTAAATATGAATGCAGGTAGAATTTGGTTCTGCCAAAATTTGAAAGTCTGGAATGCTGTGGGAAATTTCAAGGTAGCTACTTTATAATCTTCTTTCTTGAGCTTTAAGATGTACATGTCATCAAATCTAAGGATATCTCAAGTACAAAATGAACCGTT